ACCCCACCCCCGCTCTCCCTCCACCGGCTTGCCCCTCCCAGACCCTGAACAGGCTGCGCGTCCCGCCCCTGCCCGTGCGGGGGTTTGCAGTGCAGGTGTGCTGCCCACAGGCTCCCGGCTCCTGTCGGCCGATGCTGACGGGCAGATCAAGTGCTGGAGCATGGCGGACCACCTGGCCAACAGCTGGGAGAGCTCCGTGGGCAGCCTGGTAGAGGGGGACCCCATCGTGGCCCTGTCCTGGCTGCACAACGGCGTGAAGCTGGCGCTGCACGTGGAGAAGGTGGGCTACTTCCTGAGCGTGCAGGTGTGGTTGGTGAGGCCACCGCCCCCCCCCCCCCCCCCCCCCCCCGCCTGTCCGCCAGCCCTCTGGTTCCTCCCCTGCAGAAGCACCCTTTGGTTTTTCTAGTCCCGGCCCGACTTGCGCCTCTGATCAGGCTGTCAGCGCCTTGTTTCCGGTGAGCCACTCATTTAACTGATGGCTGCTGTCCTTAGTGAACCTTCTATTCCACTGGCCGCTGAAATCCTCAGTGAACCTCCCTTTTAACTGACAGTTGTTTTTAGGATCCAGCACACCTTTCTCCTCAGTAACGTTCCAGAATTCCTCTTTCTGTACCCCAAGGGGGGGGTGTCAGGTCACAAATGGCAGACCCCTAAAGGCTGGGCAGGGCATCCGTTGTTGATGGCTTCCGCTGGGGCCAGCATCGGCATTAAGCTGACCCTGTGCCCCCTTCTTCCCCCCACAGTCAGGTGCCTCCAGCTTCGGGGAGAAGTTCTCCCGTGTCAAGTTCTCGCCGTCCCTCACGCTGTTTGGCGGCAAGCCCATGGAGGGCTGGATCGCGGTGACGGTCAGCGGCCTGGTCACCGTGTCCCTGCTCAAGCCCAGTGGGCAGGTGCTGACGTCAACCGAGAGTCTGTGCCGGCTGCGCGGCCGCGTGGCTCTGGCGGACATCGCCTTCACGGGCGGCGGCAACATCGTGGTGGCCACGGCGGACGGCAGCAGCGCCTCCCCCGTGCAGTTCTACAAGGTGTGCGTGAGCGTGGTCAGCGAGAAGTGCCGCATCGACACCGAGATCCTGCCCTCGCTCTTCATGCGCTGCACCACCGACCTCAACCGCAAGGACAAGTTCCCCGCCATCACCCACCTCAAGTTCCTGGCCCGCGACATGTCGGAACAGGTGAGCCGGCGGGTCCCCCGCCCCCCCTCCCCCCCGCCCTCTGGCTCCTCACCCTGACCTGTGCTGCTGCAGGTGCTCCTGTGCGCGTCCAGCCAGACGAGCAGCATCGTGGAGTGCTGGTCTCTGCGGAAGGAGGGGCTGCCCGTCAACAACGTCTTCCAGCAGATCTCACCCGTGGGTGAGTCTCCCCGCAGCCCCGCCCCCTCCGCCCCAGGCCCTTCACGCCTGCCGTGCAGCACTTCAACATTTCTGCCTGGAGGCTCAGAGGAGCAGTGGCCTAGGCATCCCACAATCCCACAGGGCGGGTCACCTGACTGCCTCACTCTCCTGCCTCTTGCAGAGAGCAGTGCCTGCTTGAGGGAACTGCAGTGCAAAGGCCCTGGGGCAAGAGGCCAGCAGTGAGCTAGAGCAGGGCTGAGCAGAGGGGGGTGAGCAGACAGTGCAGTGGGGCTGGGGGTGCACACAGACCCTGGGCCACAGAGGGCACTTAATCCTAACAACAAGCCTCCAGAAACTGGTTTACGGGGAGGAAGCCCAGAGGGTTGGCTGAGTTTCTCTAGGACATACCTGAGGACTCCCCCCCCCCATCCCCACACTCACTGTGGATCCTCCAGATGGCACCAGCCTCCCCCGGGACTGTCCCCGCTCCCCGGCAGAGCCTGGGACACGCTGGCCTGGCCTTTTATGACTGCGAAGTCAAAGTCGGAAAAGCCACTTTATTTTCACCCCCTGCAGCTCAGAGAGGGTGAAGGCGTCCCCCGGGCCCACAGATAGAGAGGATTTCCAGCAGATGAAAGCAGGGCTCTTTGCTGATTAGCGCTAATGGACCCTGGAGTGGTTGGCTGCCCAGGAGGGCGCTAAACGGGAACTACTAATGAAGCGCAGTCAAGAGGCCCCCGCGGCTGCGGCCCCCTGGGCGGTTACATACACCACCTGCGCCAGGGCTGGTAGTCAGCGCGAAGCACCTTCCCCAGACCCCACGTCCTGAGTGAGCTTGTAGCTGGCGGCCAGCATGACCACATGTGGTGGGCAGGGCACGCAGGCCTGCACCGTCCCTGTGCCCCGGAGCAAGGGGTGGCCAGCCCCAGGGCCAGCCTGACCACAGCCATCACGTCGCATTTGTGCAGTGCTCACCGTGACCGCTGGCCTGGGCCTGCGGGTGCTGTGTGGCTGTCGTCCATGCTGGATACTAAGTCACATTCTGGCCTCAGGCAGTCTCGGTGCTCTCTGGGCCTCAGTTTCCCCCTCAGGGGGCTTGGGTCTGTTGTTTGTTTATGTGCTGTGACAAGCCGTTCAGAGCAAGGCTCTGGAGGCAGGCAGGCAGGCGGCGGTGGGGAGAAGTCATTTGATGGTTCGCTGTCGCGGCCGTATTAAATTTTTTTTTTAATTTAATTTTTTTTTTTTTATTTTTTATTTTTAGGAGAGAGAGATATAGTTTGTTTAGGGGTTGTTTAGAGAGAGAGGGAGTCACAGACTGAAACAGGCTCCAGGCTCTGAGCTGTCAGCACAGAGCCCGACGCGGGGCTCGAACCCACGAACCGCGAGATCATGACCTAAGCGAAAGTCGGACGCTTAACCGACTAAGCCACCCAGGCGCCCCAATCGCGGCCGTATTAACACGGCATCCTGAACGGCGCAGCTCTGGGGGGCCATCTGGGGCACCACCTCCACGCTCCTCCCTGGGCAGCGTGGGCTGCGCACCCGATCTCCCCCCACGGTGGCGTGTCACACCGTGTCTGCTGGCGTCACGTTCGCCCTCGTGCTGTGGCCACGGGTCTCCCGGAAACCACTCCACCTGTTGGGGGGGGTCCATCACCACGCCAAGGGTGTGGGTGCAGGGGGCACAGATCTGTGGCCCCGTGACCATCCAGCTGGAGCCTTAGCACCAGGCTGATCTGGGCTCCTCCCAGCACCTGTCCTGTTAAGAAAATGCAGCGCGAGCTGGCCGTAGCAGGAGGGCTATTGGGGGGTGGGGGGGCTCCAGGGGCAGGGTGTGCTCCGCCTTTCTGCTCTGGCTTCAGCCGGAGGCATGGCGGCCTCCCCCCACCACCCACGGCCTCCTCGTCGGGCGAGGTCCCAGGGCGGGACTGGGGGTCTGCGTGTGTCCGTGCCCGCTGGCTGGACCGTGAAGTGCTCTGAGCGGCCAGGCTGGAGACTGGGGTGCCAGGGCGGGCACGTCCCCTGCGGGGTTCCGTCGTGTGGCGTTTCTCATTCTGTCGTTTCCCCGTTCCCCTGGCCCCCTTTTCAGTTGGTGACAAACAGCCCATGATTCTCAAGTGGCGGATCCTGTCGGCCACCAATGATCTGGACCGTGTGTCTGCTGTAGCGCTGCCTAAGCTGCCCATCTCGCTGACCAACACTGACCTGAAGGTGGCCAGTGACACCCAGTTCTACCCCGGCCTCGGTACAGCTGGCGCGGGCCCCGGGGGGCGGTGGGCGCGGGGCCCTCCCGTCTGCCAGGTGGCCTGCTTCCAGGGTCCCACACGCCCCAGGGCCGGGAGGGGCTGACAAAGCACGCGTACAGGGCCGGCAGCCATCTGCAAGGGTGGGGCTGGGAGCTTTGGGCGGACTCTTCAAGTGGGCAGTAGCCGTCATGGCGCGTCAGGCGTCCATCCTGGGTCAGTCGTGGGTATCACTGACCCCAAGTGAGTCAGGGCTCCAAGAGAGCCCTAACCCTGGTGCCCATTGGTCATGGTGGTTCGGCCTCCCTGCCCTCCATTCCCACCACGAGGCCCTTGTGTGCTCTGGAACCCCAGGGCCTTTGCAGCCACCGTCCCCTTCCACTGTCTGGAAGGGACCCATTTGTGCCAGGTGCTGGGAGGCGGGGGGGCACAGCCTGAACCTATGGCCCTTTCCTCCACTGATTCTCAGGACTGTCCACAAAGGACGAGGGGAGAGTGGCTGTGGGGGCGGCTGGCAGGCTGTGGGTGGCCTGGGGCCATGCCCTCCCCCGCGCAGCCCCTTCCCATGGTCGGGAGCTGGGCGGGCGCCTCGCACGGCTGAGCAGCCTGTGCTCCGGCTGCAGGGCTGGCCCTGGCCTTTCACGACGGCAGCGTCCACATCGTGCACCGGCTGTCACTGCAGAGCATGGCCGTCTTCTACAGCTCTGCGGCCCCGCGCTCCGCGGACGAGCCGGCCATCAAGCGCCCGCGGACCACCGGCCCCGCCGTCCACTTCAAGGCCATGCAGCTCTCCTGGACCTCTCTGGCCCTAGTCGGCATCGACAACCACGGGAAGGTGAGCTTCAGAGCTGCCTCCCTGCTGCTTGACGGCCCGAGGTTGTCGCCTGTGCGGTCACGAGCAAAGTTCCAGTGAGGTCTGTGGCGCACTGTGGGTGCTGGGCACGTAGTGGGTGCTGGGCAAGCAGAAGCCATTGGGATGGCGGCTGCGCACGTGGATTTCTAGGATTAAATGTGGTGACGCCTGTAGCAGGTGCTCAGGGGCTGTCCTCATTCCCGGGGGACGTGGCCTCGGCCTGGCAGAAGGGGCAGGCTGCACTCACCCTCACGACCAGGCGTGCCCGACCCCCCCTCTCCCGCTGGCTCCACCCTTGGGGTCTTGTGTGGCGGGCCAGCTGGCCGGCCTGAGGGCTTCCGCCTCTGGAGGACGGGCTCGGTCTGCAGAGACTCCGCGGCCCTCAGGTGGATTGGCGCCTGCCACTTAGCCCGATGACCGGCCGGTCTCCCCCCGCCAAACCCCGTGGGTGTGGTGAGCCCCTCCCCCCTGCAGGTAGGCCCCCCCAGGGAGCAGCAGGCCCAGGGCCTTCAGCGCTCCCCCGCCCGCCCTCCCCGCAGCTGAGCATGCTTCGCATCTCGCCGTCCATGGGCCACGCGCTGGACGTGAGCCTGGCGCTGCGGCACCTGCTCTTCCTGCTGGAGTACTGCATGGTGACCGGCTACGACTGGTGGGACACGCTGCTGCACGTGCAGCCCGGCATGGTGCAGGGCCTGGTCGAGAGGCTCCACGAGGAGTACACGCGCCAGAACGCCGCCCTGCAGCAGGTGGGGGCCCGTGCCGCGCCAGCGCCAGCCGCGTCCCGAGCCCCTCGGGGGCTGCCTGCTCACGCCACCTGCCCGCCAGGTCCTGTCCACCCGGATCCTGGCCATGAAGGCGTCGCTGTGCAAGCTGTCGCCCTGCACGGTGGCCCGCGTGTGCGACTACCACGCCAAGCTCTTCCTGGTGGCCGTCAGCTCCACGCTCAAGTCCCTCCTGCGCCCCCACTTCCTCAACACGCCCGACAAGAGCCCCGGCGACCGGCTGACCGAGGTCTGCGCCAAGATCACGGATGCCGGTGGGTGCTGCCCCGGGGGCTTCGGCCAGGCCAGGGAGGGCCCGGGGGGCCAGAGAGGGGCTGTGGGGGCCCAGCGTGGCGGGCCCCTTCGACCCAGGGCCCAGCTCCCAGAGGGAGCCCTGACCGCCCGTCCCCTCCCAGACATCGACAAGGTCATGATCAACCTCAAGACGGAGGAGTTTGTCCTGGACATGAACACGCTCCAGGCGCTCCAGCAGCTCCTGCAGTGGGTGGGGGACTTCGTGCTCTACTTGCTGGCCAGCCTGCCCAACCAGGTGCGCCTCCTCACCCCTGCCCGGCCCCTGGAGCCCACGGCCGGGAGCCCTGTGCGCTGCGAGCTGCATCCCCGCCCCGCCCCGCCCCTCACGTGCTAGCTGCCAGAGGCGACCGCTTCCCTTCCTCCTCCCACCACGGTGCGGCGGGCAGGAGCTGTAGTCGCTGGTCATGTGTCAGGAAAGCGCGGGGCTCCCTGGCCTGTGGGAGGGGGGCCGGGGGCCGGGGATGCGGCCTGGTGAGCCCGTGCCTCCCCACAGGGCTCCCCGCTGCGGCCGGGACACAGCTTCCTGCGGGACGGCCCCTCGCTGGGCCTGCTGCGGGAGCTCATGGTGGTCATCCGCATCTGGGGTCTGCTGAAGCCCAGCTGCCTGCCCGTGTACACGGCCACCTCGGACACCCAGGACAGCATGTCCCTGCTCTTCCGCCTGCTCACCAAGCTCTGGATCTGCTGTAAGGCTCCAGCCCACAGCACTCATCACCCCGCCCTAATGAGTCCTGGGGAGAGTCCCGGCCACTCCCCAGATGTGGGCCCCCCAGCTCAAACGGTCTTCGTCCCCAGTGCCCGGCACAGGTGCTCGTTAGACGTCCCTGCCTGCTTGCTGGCCGTGTGTCACCGGGTCACGTGCTTCCACAGGCCGTGTTCTGGGAAGGACACCTAGTGCCTCCCGTGTACTTGGTGGACAAACAAGCAGGTCCTGACACCCGTGAGGTCGGGGTAGAGCTGGAGCCCAAACCTGGACCTCGGCACTGAGCTCCTAGGAGGCCTCGGTGCCCACCCCCTACTCCTTGGGGCAGGCCACTGAGCGCAGCGTCCCCTGGTCCCCTCCCGCAGGCCGTGACGAGGGCCCCTCGAGCGAGCCGGATGAGGCGCTGGTTGACGAGTGCTGCCTGCTGCCCAGTCAGCTGCTGGTGCCCAGCCTGGACTGGCTGCCCGTCAGCGACGGCCTCGCCAGCCGCCTGCAGCCCAAGCAGCCCCTGCGCCTGCAGTTCGGCTCGGCCCCGACCCTGCCCGCTGGGCCGCCCGACGGCCTCGCCAGGTGCGTGCAGGCTCCGCCTTCCGGGCTCCCCCTTAAGCTCTGTCCCCACTCGCTCCCCGCCCCCCCGCCGCTCTGGGGTTGCCCCAGGTAGAGTGCCTGGAGCTTGGCCCCGCCCCCACCACAGGTCACCAGCATGGACTCCCGCGTGCGCAGCCCCGGGCAGCCCAGCGCTGTGCCGAGGCCGTGTTCCCGGGGCGCGGGGTCTGTCCCCACTCTTCAGGCTAGAAAGTGCAGTCCCTGACCTAGGGTCGCACAGGGTGCGTCACTATTTCAGATACTCGCTTGATGAAGAGACACAGGAATTCTCCACAGAGTCCGTTACTTTGGGTGGAAATTTCAGAGATCGCAGATGAGCCAAAGGAAGAAAGTCAGCACCCTGGGGCCCCATTTGGATGAAACACATCAGACGTTCGGTTTCTCCCCGTTCCGGCATCTTCCTTTTGGTGATGCGGTGGGAGGGACTCCCTGAATCATCTGCATCTGGGTTTCAGAAAAATCCTTAAGAGGAGGCTGATCATAAGGAGGTTTTAAGTTTGTTGTTTTGGAAACGTTCAAATTTAATGCCAGTGCAGCCCCATCCAGCTCCCAGGTTTCCCCACGGAGAACCGGGAGGGTTCTCCAGTGGCTTCTAGACCTTTCTAGCGCCTTGAGTCTGCGGTGAGAGGGCACAAGTCAGATGACCCGTGTCCGGTGTGTGCACCTCACGTGTGTTCTCTCATCCGCCAGGGCGCCGGGCCAGCCCAGGATCGACCACCTGCGGAGGCTGCACCTGGGAGCCTACCCCACAGAGGAGTGCAAGACCTGCACCAGGTGGGTGCCCCCGCCTGCGACCCCGCCCCCGGCGTGCCCAGGGCCTGCGGCTTCCCCCTGCCCGCCTGTCTCCCTGCCCCTCAACAGGGGCCGTGGGAACGCCGCCTACGTTGGGGCCACTGGGTGGGCACACCAGGGGGTCCCTGCAAGGACCGAGGCTGCCTTGGGAGGCCCTGAGCACCCTCCCTTCGGGCATCAGTGGGGGGCAGGGCCCTGGGTGACCACGCAGCCCGAGCCTGCCCGGGGGGAGCTGCCCATAACCCGACTGTGGCAGAGACGAGGCCCAGGCGCTTTGCAAATCAGCCCCGCCTGCTGCCACACAGCCCCAGATGCAGGTTCCGGCCCTCAGGGTCACGCTGCTAGGGAGCGGCCAAGCCGGACTCAGAGACCCCACAGCCCCCTCCGTCCGCTCAGAGGAAGGATGCCTGAGCCGGGACGGAAAGGTGTGGAGGAGCTGGCTCAGTTTTGGGAGGTGCAGGGAGCAGCATTCTGGGGGTGGGGGGAGTAGCACGTGCAAAGGCCCGCCCAGCGGCAGGAGGGAGGGAAGCCCCTCCCGGCGCCTCACCCCCGCCGGCTCTGCCCCCAGGTGCGGCTGTGTCACCATGCTCCGGTCACCCAACAAGACTACGGCTGTCAAACAGTGGGAACAGCGCTGGATCAAGAACTGCCTATGTGGGGGCCTCTGGCGGCGGGTGCCGCTCAGCTACCCCTGACTGGGGGCCCCTAGGCCCTCCCGGCGACAGAACGTTCCACACGCTCCTGACCTTCGTTGGGTGCGTTAAAAAACAGGCATCCGGAAGCAGGGCCTTTCAGGCCACATCAGCCAAGGTCGGTGCCCTGTCGCTGGGCGGGGCCGGTGAGGGTGCGGCTGGAGCCTCAAGTCAGTACCTGTCAGCCCAGTGGGTGCGGCTTTCTGTCCCTGGGAGCCTGTGGGTCTCACGGCCTCAGGCAGGGCCACAGCCCACGTGCTCCCTCCCTGGACCCCCAGCGGCCCCTCCGGAGGCCCCAGGTCCCGGCTCAGAGGGCCCAGGATGGCCGGCGTCTCTGTTCTCCAGAGCGCCCCCCAGGAACCTGTCCCGAGTCCGGGTGGCTGCTGCCGGGGCACCTGCCTCCGTGTCCTCCTTCCTGTCCGTGCGTCCAGGTGGCTCTGACCTCAGCAGGCGCAATAAACGTCCTGCCGAAGGTGCTGCCTGTCTGCCCTCCCTCCTCCCTCATGCAGGTCTGGGTTCCTGTGCCTGGTGACTCTCTGCTTTGTCAGCATTTATCGAGCACCTATTGTATGCCAGTCACTGAGGTCCCTACAGGGGGCAGCAAGCTAGGCACAGGTGGGTGGTGGGCACGTCTCTCTCCTTTTTCCCTGACTCCCCCTACCCTCCCCCCTGCATGCCTCAGCTGCTCTGGCCCCTGGGCTTCTGGGAGCTCAGGTCTGGTCCCTGGGGGTCCCACCTTCTGCCAACAAGCACTTGCCCCAGGCGCATCAGGCCTCCTGCCCTGCCTGTGGGGTGCTCCTGCCTGAAGGCGCAGGGAGGGGTGGGTGCAGGGCAGGGAGGGCGGCCAGGTGGATGCCCCAGGGGGCGCAGAGCTGCCTAGGGCAGCCGGGCCCTGGCGATAGTCAGCCGGCACGGGGCCAGGCGTTTGGTGGGGGGCTGGCCCGCCTCTCCTCCCACCCTGCTGGTCACCGCTGCCTGGTGCCCCTTGAGTGACACGGGGCCCCGAAGACAGCTGCCCTGGTCGAGGCGTTCCTGGGTGAGTGGTCACTGCTGACGGGCAAGCCACCCGTGAGCCACTGGAGGGAAATGTCCGTGTAAATCGTTGATCTAAGTCCAGCAAAGGGGGGTTTCAGGGAGCAGGGGAGAGGCCTCTCCTCCATGGGGGTCAGCCACCCGGGGCCCTCTCCTCCCCCCGGCCACGCCCACACCACTGCTGTGCCGTCTGCGGGGCTGGGGGGGGGGCCGGCTGCTGGCGACCCTGCACCCCTTTGGGGTCCGCAGACCCCTGACGCGGCCCGCCCCCAGCTGCAGTGGCACAAAGGGGTTATCGTCCTGGACACGTCTCACCCACTTGGGGCTAGTTTGTGGGTTTATGACGCGGACACGTGGGGCCTGCATCGCCTCCCCTGGGGTCTGGGCGGGCGCACACCTGTGGCCAGCCCCGTGCAGAAGTGCGTGTGAGCCGCGAGTGTTGGGAAGCGGCCCCTCCCCCTGGAGTCCGAGTCCCGGGCGGTGAGGCCGCCATCCTGCTGTGCCGCCCACTTCTGGCCCTGCAGGCGCGGAGCACGGTGAACCGGGGATGGCTCTGTGCCCCCCAGTTTGGGGTGGATGAGAACATTCTGTGAACTGCTGGGGCAAACGTGGTGGCGTGGGCGTGCCTGGCTGCCCGGGCGGCCTGTCCCCCATGCGCCCTGCTGAGCCCGGGTCAGGTCAGCAGGGTCGAGCGTCCCCGTCCCGTGCCCACCGGGGTGGCCGCAACACCCGCGTGTCCCCATGGCGCCTTCCTCTAAGCGCGACAGCAAGGCCTCTAGTACTGCGAAGATGGGCCAGTGCGACCGGCTGTGTGCTTCTGTCCCCTTCTGTCCGCTCCTCAGAGCGGGGTCACCGGGACCGCGTTCAGCTGCGCGTGCCGCTTTGGGTTCAGTGCCCATCGCACTCCCGCCCCTGCCCCACACTCCTCCAGAACCTCCTGTGGTTCCCACTGACCACGGGATGGGGCGTTGTCACACCAGGCCAGCCCCGAGACAGACGTGAAACCCCACATACCACCCTTTCCCTGGCTTCCCCCCCCCACCCCGGGGCACTGACCTCCGGAAACAAGCGGGAAGGCTTGACTGGCCCTTGGCCCCTGCGTCTGCGCGGGGCTCAGGGCCGGCCACGCCCACTGGCACCTGAGAACCCGCCCGGGGAGGGGACAGCTCGCCCAGGGAGGAGGCCCGGGGTGAGAGGCTGCGGGTTCCCTCGTTCGCTCGCGGCTGGAGAAGCCCCAGCCACCGCGGCTCCGCCCCTTCCCGCGGGCGGACCCACCGGCCCCCGGCCCCGCCCGGGCCCTCCGGCTGCCAGGCCACCAGTGGGGACGGCCGCAGTGGAGTTCCAGGCGGACGACAGATGCGGTTTAGTCCAAGGCCGTTCCGGATGCCACATGGAACACGCTCATCACGCGAAAAGCGTTTGTTGTTCTTCTGAAATTCCCGTTTAACCGGACGTGTTGTATTTTTATTTGCTGAATCCGGTATCCTACCCACACCCACGCTTTCCCCCCAAACTGGATCGTTCCAAAGCCACGCCCTGGCATCTTTCATTCAGGAAATACCTATCGAATGAATGAGTCTTCGGTGTCTGACCGGCAATTGTGTCTCTTCCCCCCTTAATGTAAATGTGCAGTTTGTTAAGTTTCGCGCGAGACGCAGGAGCCCATGTGGGTCATCAGAGGGCGCGGTGGCTCGTCCTGCGTGGAGTGTGAGTTACTAGAGCTGGTCTCGGAGACCACGGCCCAGCCCAGGACTGCACGCAGCAGGTGCTCAATAAATGCTTTTGTACCTGTGAGCACACGACTCCGAGGTGAACTCTGGTGGAAAAGTAAAACTTGGCCGCGGGTTCCTAACCCAGTACCCTGACCCCGGGGGGGGGGGGGGCACAGGACTTCGCCTCTCAGACCCTCAGGCTTCTTTTCAACAAAAGGGGAAGAAAAGCACGAGCCCCCTTTGTGGCCTCGCTTCCCACCCAGGCTCGCACGCGGGAGGGCAGGGGGTCCCTCAGGCCCGCAGGGGCCCCTCTAGACTCGCGCCGGCCGTCCCCGTCCTGGGAGGTGACCGAACGCGGCTCTGCGTCCTGGGGTTGAATCCACGCTTGGCCCGGGGGCCTCCTCGGGCCTCAGCCTCCGATTCCCGATGTGGGACGTGGGTCGTGGGAACACGCCTGACTCGAGAGGGTCTGTGAGCCCGAGGCTCCCGCGGAGCAGAGCGCGTCTTCCACGCGGGGCGCCCCCCCCACCCCCCCACCTCCCGGGCCGCGGACGGCAGGGCGCGGGCGCCCCCGCGCGGCGGCGCGTGCGCAGGACGGGCGGGAAGCGTGCGGGAGAGGAGGCTTTATTGCGCGACCCGGGTCCGCCCCCCGCGCGGCCTCGTCAGGCGGCCGCGCCCTCGGCCGTCACGCCGTCGATCCAGGCCGCGTAGCTCGCCACGCGCGTGTAGATGCCGGGCTTCTTGCGGTTGCCGCACACGCGCGAGCCCGACGTGACCACGGCCTCGGCCACGCCCCCGCACACCAGCGGGCCCCCGGAGTCGCCCTGCGGGGACGGCGGGCCGGACCGTGAGCGCCGTGGCCGCGCCTGCTGGGACCCGCGCCCCCCCGCCCCCGCCGCCCCCCGCCGCCCCGCGCCCCCGACCCCCGCCGCCCCCGCGCCCCCGCCCCCGCCGCCCCGCGCCCCCGCACCTTGCAGGTGTCCCGGCGGTTGCTCTCGCCGCACATCATGCTCCGGGTGATGGTGCCGTCGTGGTAGGCGCGCTGGTTGCAGGTGGCGCGGTCCAGCACCCGCAGCTGCAGCTGCTGCAGGCGGTCCGGCCGGCGGCCCGCGTGGCTCACCACGCCCCAGCCGGCCACGTCGCAGAGCGTGCCGGCCGCCACGTCGCGGTCCACGCGCTGCCAGGCCAGGGGCTGCACGGCGGGGCCCAGCTCGGCCTTCTCCGACAGCTGCGGGGGTGGGGGGCGGAGGGTCAGAGCGGGGGGCGGGGCGGGGCGGGGCGCGCGGCAGGTGGGGCCGAGGCGGGGCGGGGCCGACCTGCAGCAGGAGGAGGTCGTGGTCGATGGTGTCGGGCCGGCTGTCCGGATGGGGCACCGCCCGCAGCACGTCGTACAGGCGCTTGGAGGGCTCGGGCTGCGACAGGGAGTGCGCCCCCAGGAGCACCTGCACCTTCCCGTCGGCCCTGGGCGTGGGGCGGGGTCCACCTGAGAGCCGCGTACCCCCCCAACACAGCCCGCCCCCCGCGTACCCCCCCGACCCAGCCCGCCCCCCGCGTACCCCCCGACCCAGCCCCCCCCAGCCCCCGCCTCCTCCCCGCAGCCCCGCGGGCCACTCACAGGTCCTCCACACAGTGCGCCGCGCTCAGCACCCAGCGCGCAGACACCAGGAAGCCGCCGCACACGTGCTTGCCGTCCACCCGCACCGACGCCATGTAGGGCCGCGCGTGGGCCTCGGCCTCGCGGCCGCCCAGGATCCGACCGCGGGGCTGCGCCGCTGCGGGTGGGCGAGCGCGCGTGAGCTTCGGGGCGCAGGCCTCCTTCCCGCACCCGGCCTCCCGCCGCTCAGACCCGCGTCCAGACCCGCCAGGACGCGGCGGTGGGAGTGGCGGCTCTGGGGCCAGTTCCCTGCGCGCTGCGCCTAAGGGCTGCGAGGAGAGTGCGGCTGTCCAGACCCAACAGTGCCCCGGCCCTTTGCACCGACCCCTGCGGATTCTCACTGCAGCCAAAGCTCAGACTCAGAAGCTCAGGCTTCACGTTCGAAGTTGTGGAAGTTCCTTCATTTTCAGAGCCTTCCATTCACCTGCTGGAGCTGGGGGGCGCTCCTGCTTGATGGAGGGGGGCCCCTGGCCGACGCCCTGCAGCCCCGTGGCTCCCAGCCGCCCCCACAGGCCCAGTCACTCACCACACGCGGCCGCTCCCAGGAGGACCAGGGTCACCAGCTGCACCAGACTGGCTGTCATGCTGCTGCGGAGGCCTGACAGGGATTCAGGCCGGGCCCCCCAGGCTCGGTCACTTGTATGCGCCTGCAAGGGGGCGGGGCTCCTGGGGCTCCATCTGCTGGGTGGCGGGGGGGTGCCGGCCTGTCCCGCGTCCAGCGTCCTCAGGGTGGGGTCCTCTCCCTCAGGAGCTCTGCACCCACCGTGGACAGGCGGCTGGAGGTGCCAGGTCCCCAGCGGGCCCTCATGTGGGCAGAAGACCCTCGGGATGGGCCCACCCTTCACCCCCAGCCCAGGCTCCCAGGGCGCCCTTCTGGCCCCAGAGTTTTGCAACAGCAGCTGGAGGTCACAGTTTGTAAACAACCAACTTCCTCATTTTTCTGCTCCTCAGTTCTTTCTCTTCCTCCTCCAACTAAGGGAGGAGGTCAGATGGGGGTGGGAAGGTCACCCGACACCCTTGTCCCTAGTGGCTCGGGGTCCGACACCCCAACAAATGGAATGTTAGAAAGCTGGTGTGTAGAGGCAGCTGGAAAGATGACTGATACAAGTGGCAGAAAAACCAAGTTGAACTGGGTGGTCTTCAAGAAGGAAACGTGAATGGAAAGTTCAGGGGGCTGCTTTCAGGTGTGGCTTGCTCCTGTGCCTGGCCCGTATCATGTGTCTCTGTCTCTAGCTTGTCCTTTCCTCCCTGGTGGTTTTTCTCCTCGCCAGGCTCCCCTGTCGTGGGCCTGGCGCCCCACACGCAGCCCGGTGGCTCAGTGGGCCCCTCCCCAAATTCCCCATCACCCCAGCCAGCTTCGCAAGGCTGACTCTGACTAGCTGGGCTGTGATCACATGTCCCTTCCCAGACCAAACACTGTGAGCAAGAGACTGCGGGTTCTGATGAGCAGAATGGGTTACATGACCCTTCATAAGGTCAGGATAGTGGATCAACATCTCACGAACCCGGCGGGGGTGGGGGGTCACTGCTGGGAACTCAAGGGTGGGGTGTGCCTTGGACATCCCCAGGGGGCACATTGCACAATATTTTCCCTCTGTTTCTTCCCTCTTGGGTGTGTACTATTTCATGCACAGAGAAGAATAAAAAAAATGTAACCAATGTGAGTTGTTAGATCCTAACGTGATTCCTTATTGAAATCAGAAACTCTAATAAACAAAAGCCCATTAGGATATGGAGTCCAGATTATGTAACAAAATTTGGACCGTCTTGAAGACGGGAAGGTTCAGGAAAGAACCCTGAGCGCTCCCAGATGCTCCTGGACTCCGGGGACCAGCGAGTGCCGAGGCTGGAGGAGCCGGCAGCCAGTGCGTGGGTGGGGCCGTGGGAGGGGGCACCCCAGGCAGAGGGAGCACCGAAGCCCAGGCTGGGGACCTCCAGGGCGGTGAGGGGCTGGGTTCCTGAGGCCGAGGCCCGTCTGCCACCTGAACGCCTCCCCTTCCTCCTTCCTGCAGCAGCGGCTCTGGCGCTCAGTCCGGTGACCTGGGAACTGGGGTGGCCGCTGGCAGCCTTTGCGGGGGGTGAGGAAGGTCTTCTTACCCCAGGGCCCCTAACACACTGCCCTTCGGTGGCAACATGCTCATGACACCCTCTTTCTAGTCCCTGTTGGGCCCCAGCTGCACGGCCAGGAAACAGCTGCACACATTCTCACGAAACCGAGAGGCTTTTATTGTGCGAGATGCAAATGGTCCCCCCGTGGGCAGGGCGCAGCCAGGGGTGCCCTTTCTAGAGGGTCCTACTCGCAGGGTCCCTGGGATGCACCGAGGGGCGGTTGTCCCGGCGACGGATGATGGAGTTGATCCAGTCGGCGAACTGCGCCACCGGAGCGAAGGCGTCTGGGTAGAAGCCGGAGCCGCAGCTTCCGCGGATAAAGGAGTCGATGCCCTGGATCAGCCCATTGCAGACCAGGGGCCCGCCAGAGTCCCCCTGCGGGCACAGCAGGGTCAGGAGGCTGCCCTTCCAGGGCTCAAGCCGCGGCCCAGGCGGGAGTGGGGTGGGGGGGCCTGAGGGGAAGCGGGTGGGCCGGGGGTGGGGACCAGGGGGCCTGGGGGGACCAGCGGAGACTAAGGGGGACAGGGGGCACCCAGGGGACCCAGGGGGTTTGGGAGGAACCCTGGGGGGGATGGGGGACCCAGGAGGATGGGGAAACAGGGGGACCTGGGGGGACCCAGGATACGTACAAAGCAGATGCCGGCCTGCCGCCGTGGCACCAGTGTGCACACGTTGGAACGACGGCACAGGTTGGTCACCACGGTGACATTGAGCTCCTGCAGGACGTTGGGCGGTGGCCGGGTCGTGCCCAGCTGGCCCCAGCCCATGGCCAGGCACTGCACCCCACTACCCACACCTTGATTCTGGGCAGGCAGCCTGGCCACCTGCACGTTGGCGTTGATGGTGGCTGACCCATTGAGCTGTGGTGGGTGGGGACAGAGCGTCAGAGTGTCACAGGGGGTGGTGGACCATGACCCTCCCCTCCCCGGGCCTCAGTTTCCCCATCTGTACAGTGGGAGCAACCACAGTGGCTCAGAGCTTCTCTGGACATGTCTTTTTTTTTAATATTAAAAAAAATTTAATGTTGTTTCAGTCTGTGACTCCCTCTCTCTGACCCTCCCCTGTTCGCGCTGTCTCTCTCTCTCTCCTAGAAATAAATAGAACATAAAAAAAAATTTAAAAAAATAAAAAAATAAAAAAAATTTAATGTTTCTTTCTTTTTGAGAGAGACAGAGCGTGAGCAGGGGAGGGGCTGAGAGAGAGGGAGACACAGAATCCGAAGCAGCTCCAGGCTCTGAGCTGTCAGCACAGAGCCCGACGCGGGGCTCGAACCCACGAACTGTGAGATCATGACCTGAACCGAAGTCTTACACTTAACCGACTGAGCCCCCCGGTGCCCCCGGACACGTCTCGAGCACAGTGAGTACTCAACAAAACACACTGTGGGCAACAGCAGGGACATATGCCTTGTTCCAGAACGTTCCCAGAGAATAATCCTAGCTTTGCAAGCAGTGGGGAAGGGAGTCTCTCCCTTACGTCTCCTGCCAGCTGAACGTGGGGAGCGTCACCCCACTCCACAGAGGCAGGACCGGTCCCCGTGCTCAGCCACGTGGAGAACAACAGTTCGCTCGGAGCCTCCTGTACCGTCTCACTTGATTCCTCTGCAGCCCTGCCGAGTGGAGTTGATTTCTCCGTGTTGCAGAGGGTGAGACTGAGGCACAGAAGGGTGGCCTGCATGGTTAGAGCTGGGGTGTGGCGCAGGCCTGCCGTCCCCCACCCGCCCCGCGCTGCGCTCTCCGCAAGCTTCCTGCCCCTGGGCCTCCGCGCCCTCTCGGGCGCCCCCTCCCTGCCCTGCCTGGCCTGGCACCTGGAGAATCACGATGTCGTTCAGCAGTCTCTGGGGATCAAAGCCGTTTTCAAAGACCCGCTGGATGGCAAAGGTCTGCCTGGTGGGCTCCCGCCGCCTCAGGTCGTGTGCCCCCAGCACCGCCACCACTGACCGGAAGTTTCTGCAGCAAGGGCGAGGCAGGAGGTGACCTGAGGGGGCCCTGGTGGCTGGGAGCAGTGGGGGAACCCCGGGGCTCAGCTGTGCCCCCCAACCCCAGCCCAGGAGGGCCCCGCGGGGTCGGGACTGGCCCCTGAGAGGACCTCGGGGCCCTGGTCTCGCTTCCGGCCTGTTAGACGGACGCGGCAACGGGGCTCAGAGAAAGGACGGCATGAGCCGGGGTGACTCACAGGCCGTCCACGCAGTGGGCAGCCGACATGACGAAGTTCGGGGCGATGAGCGTCCCGCCGCAGAAATGGCCGCCGCGCAGCTGCAGCGACACCATAAAGGGCCACGCATGCGGCTGGGCCGGGCGGCCGCCCACAATCTCTGAGGCCAGCGCAGCGCCTGAGGACACACGGGTGGGGCGGTGAGGGCCATGCCAGAGCCCGAGTGGGGAAACTGAGGCACAGGGGGCTGCCCCCACCCCGCACCCCCACCAGGCCACAGCTGTTTACGCTTAGTGGCTTCGGGGTCCCCAGAGGGTTCGCACCCCAGCTCCCAGCTCCCACACTGGCCTCACCACCCACGACCTCGCTGTCCTGCTCATCGGGGCGGTCACCCTCCCACGAGGGCCCAGGGCAAATGGAGAGGCCGAGAATAGATGCCCGGGGACAGACGGACAGACACGTGTCCTCACTCACCACCCAGCAGCATGGCCAGCAGCACAGAGGCCAGGGTCGGGCCGGAGGGTCTACGGCTCGGGGTCATGGTCTGGCTGGGGCTCTGGCGTCTCTGCCCCCTGTGCCCACCTGCCCCTCTTATAGCCCCCACCCCCAGAGGCCGTTGCAGTTGCCCCACGGTGGGGCCAGGTGTCCCCACTTCCTGCCCCCCGCCCAGGGCTGGGGGGGTTCAGGGGGCCGGGTTGGCTCCGGCAGGGTCACCGGGTGAAAGTCACAGAGTCAGGGCTGCACGACGAAGTGGGAAGGTCAGATACACAATGTGAACCCCAGCACTGCGCCGGGCACGCCTCTCTACAGTTGGTCGTTGCTCGCCTGGTGCTCACAGTTTCCTAGGAGCTCTGGGTTTTCCTGCACCTGGCACCCTAAACCCACAGGGTGTAGGCTGGGCCCCCACGTGCCTCAGTTTACCCAGGGCACTAGAACAGTGGCAACAGCGGTGCACACGCATGTCCTGACCTTCCGCGGGGACGCAAGGCTGTGGGGTCCCCGTCTGAGATGAGGAAACTGAGGCAGAGCGAGGGCTTCCCCGCGGGTGCCTGTCCAGCACACACGGGAGATCCGGGGTGCAGAGCCTGGCCCGGGTTCACCACAGGACAGGGTGCGCGGCCCGCACGCGGGAACTCAGTCTCCAGGGGTGGCATCTGGTCTCCGGCACAAGTTCTGGGAGGAAGCCCCCCTGCCCCGAGCTTCCCCAAAGCCCCTGATCCCAGGTAGTGGGGGTGCCCTGCCCAGTGCGGCCAAGGGACTCAGGCTGAATTACGGGGCTGGGGTCCCCAGGGCGCAGCCCCTCCCCCGTGACCCCTGTTTCACTCCCCCCCCACCCCCCGGATGCTCCAGCTGCAACGGCTGCTGTCGCAATAAAGCAACGTCTTCCAGGCTCCGTCAGGGTTCAGGGGAGGGAGCCAACGGATCATCCGCAGGAGCGGGGGGGCCGGGGCCCCAGGGACACCCGGAGCCGGCGCCGTGGCCGCCGTCCAGTTTGTCCCTGTGGCCACAGGCCAGCCAACCCCACACCCTCCAGGGATGAGGGTGACGGCCCTGGCCTCCTGCAGCCCGGCACACAGCAGGCGCTCAGCGCCTGCCCTCTCTCCCTGCCTCGGCCTGAGCCACATTGACTGTCCTGACCTGTGGCAGGGTACCCCCACCCACAGAGCACTTAGTAAGCACCATCGGGGATGGGGGACGAAGCCATGTCCTTGGAGGAAGTGGTTCTGGCAAGGAGAGCAGATTTAACCAAAGCTGCATCTATTGAGCACCACTAGTATGTTAGGTTCATCCATATTGTGGGGGTTAGGTGTGTTGACTCTGGGTTCATGCCCTAGTGTGGCCGCTCGCCCACGGCACTGGTCCCGGCCACCGACTCTGCCCCCCTGTGCCTCTGCGTCCTCGCCGATAAAATGAAAGTGACGCTAGGCTCCATCTCAAGACTGACGCGAGGGTTAAGGAAGGAAGGCTCGTGAAGTCCTCGGCTAAGAAGGTGCTGTGCTCGAGGGCCTGTAAACCAACAGCCAGCCGCAGGAGGGCACAGGCTGGGAAGGCCCAGGCTCAAGGTCACAGGGGCGCTGGCCCACACAACACGCACTGGGTTCCGGGGTGCACGCACGTCACTTGACGGGGGGGCCCGCAGCCCCGAGGCCTCCCACCTTGGTGGTCGTGGGTGTCTGAGTCTCCACGGCCCAGCCAGGCTCTAGCAAATCCACCCTGATCCTCAGCTCCCTTCTGGGGTCTGGTTTTTCTGGGTCTTTCTGTTCCTGTCATTGAGCCTCGTCCACATGCCCTCCAACAAGCCCCGTCGACCCCCATCTCTGGGCACCGAAGGCCCCTCTTGGGCCCCTGCCTTGGGCTCCTGGGAAATTCAGGAAGTTCCTGGCAGCCTCCTGACGCTTGTCAGCACACATTTCCCAGGATTTGGCGATGACCTGCTCCTGGCTCCGCGGCTGTGAACTCCGCCCCGGGGTGGTTGGACGGAGGTCAGCTCCGCGGTCTCGCTCTGGCTTGAATTTGCGTGTCGCCACCAGGTGGCCCCAGAGTACGTCAGTAAGGACCTTCCGGCTCCGTGTCCCCTCCCCGGGTCGGCACCCTCTCTGGGCCTTAATGGCCTCCTTGCTGTGACCAGCTCCCGCTCCACTGCTGGCCAATCGCCTCCACCTCTTCCGGCCGCCGACCTCTCCTCTAGGCCCACCCTCGGTCATGTCCGTGGCCCTGCTTGCCCCCCCCGCCCCCCGCCCTCCTCGTCTGCCCCTTGCCTTGCTGCTTCCCAGCCACGCTGGATGTGGCTCCTCACACCGGGCACAACCTGGCAGCCCTTCTCGTATTCTGTCCGCGCACTGGCACTCAGCTCAGGCCTTACCACCTCCTCCAGGAAGCTTCCCTAACCCCCCTGTACTGGCCCCTGATGGGATCAGCAGCCCCATGGGCCCTGGGCCCTCCATGTTATCACAGTGTGGTCCTGACAGTCACTGAGCTGGGACACTCTGGGGAGGACACGATGTCATGACCCTGAGGGCCAAGGTGGGTCTCCTTGCACAGTTCTGGAAATGTCCGCAGTGACTCCAGGCAAGGAAACTGAGTCACAGGGCTGGGCATCGACACAACCAGGGTCACCTGGCCGGACTGGACTAAAGCCCACGTCCGTGTGTGTCCAGGCGGTGAGGCCACGGTGGCCTGGGCCCTCCGGCCATCGCAGGGCCGCTCCCCACCCCCACCCCGTTCGGGGCTCTCCCCGTGTGGGAAGGACACACAGGGCCTGGGGCCCCCAGAGACCCCGGGGCGGGCGTGCAAAGCGCCATCTGTGGGCGCGGGAGAAGGCCTGCCTGTCCTGAGTCCAGGCTCCCATGTCAGGGCCTGTGGGGGAGGGGGCGGCCCTCAGCCCTCACCCCTGCACGGCTCAGCGCCAGTTCAGCGCCCGAACCAGTGGGGGCGGGGGCAAAGCAGGGGGAGCGCCGCCGGTGGGAAGTCCATTCCCCGCCCACAGGGGGCGCGGCCGCCAAGTCCCCGGGCAGGGAGGGGACAGGTCGGTCAGTCCCCAGGGCCGGCGAGACGGCCAGGACGCGGCTACGTCAGGGAAAGCAGACGGGATGGCCTCATGCTGCGCGGGGTAAAATGTTTTGAGTCTGGAGTTTCCTTTAGGACGTGTGGCCGGGAGGGGGTAGGGCCGTGGCCGAGGGGAGCAGGTGTTTATCGGGCCCCCACTGTATCCTCGGACCCCTGGATTCTGGGTGTGGCTCCCCAGGTGGGGGAGCCCCCAGACCCACGAGGCTGCTGGGTACACGAGTGCCCACCCCACCCTGGGCCAGGGCCGCTCCTCACGTCAGCGCAGCGAGGACCCTTCCAGCCTGCAGCTGCCCCTCCGAAGAAGCGGGGTTCTGGCTCCCACCGGCGGCCGCCCTCCTTCCCCTGGGACGGTCCCTCCGGCCACTGGACCCTCAAGGCCCCAGGGGCTGGCAGCCAGGTGGGCTAGGGTTTGTCCACAGGACTCTGCCCTGGTCCTGCCTCAGTGTCCCCGTTTCTGCCATGAGCATCCTGGACTGGCTGGCTCGAGTGGGCGTTCCCCCAGGTTCAGCGGCGCCCAGACAGACAGATGGACATGTGGCCCGACACACTGCCAGCAAGACGGGTGTGCGGGCCGGGGCTGCAGAGTGGGTGGCCGTGACCGTGGTCACCTCGCCTCCTGCCCTCTCTGTAGCCCCAAGTGGGGAGGCCACTGGGGCCGCCCCACTCCTGGGCTGCTGTCCTCACGCCCCCCTGCACCTTTGGCCACAGGGAGCCTGGGGTCCTGGGGTCAGAGGCGCACCCCGGGGAGGCAGGGCGACCTGGGCCAGGACACTGACACCTGCCCCGCTCCGCACTCCACCCCAGCACAGCAGGATTCGCCTGCACATCTAGGGGCTGGGGTGAGCCCCACTCAGTGGGGGACAGAAAGGGACAGGAAAGGTGGGGGGCACGGAGCCATGCGCCCTCCTGAGACCCACAGAAACATCTCTGCCCCACTTGCCTATTAGAGATTCACTTTTCCTTCTCAGGCAGGGGCTCCTGCTTGGGGTGACTGGGCCCCAGGGGACTCCGGGTGACGTCTGGGGCAGCTGTGGTTGTCACACAGCTGGGGGGGGCTCCTGGCATCGAGGGGGTGGGGTTCAGGGATCTGCTCCGCCCCCACAGCGCCTGGGCGACCCCCCCAGAGGGAACGACCCTCTGCCAGTGGCTGCAGGGCAGAGAGGGAGAGGCCAGCTGAGCAGGACATGTTATGGGTCTATTTGTAACGGAGTCATTATCACGAAAAGTGCAAACGTACAGAAAGAGAGAAGAGCTCGCCCAACCTGGGGACAAAAAAGGAAATGCTTTGTCACTTTTCATTCCGAAACGATTTCATGCTCGGTGACAGCAGGGCAGTGATGGGCTGGACCACTGGAAAGTGCTGGCCCACTGCGAGGGTGAGGTAAGTGGGGGCGCCGCCTGTCGCCGTCGCCACCACCGTCACCTGTCACCGCCACCGACATCACCACTACCGCCACCTGTCGCCGCCGTCTGTCACCTTCACTGTCACCATCACCACCACTTCACTGCCCGTGCCGGCAGGTCACACGTTGGGCCCTCTTCACTCAGGCTCTTCTGGGAGCAGACACGCACCTGATGCCTGGCTTCAAATTCTGCCGGGCTTTGTGATTCTGGGCTGAAAATGCCGCCTCTTGAGCCTCAGTTTCCCCAGCTGTTAAGCGGCAATGATGAGAGCAGCCGTCCCTCACAGGGTTAAACACGATGAAGGGACAAAACACAACGCGCCCACTGCACACGCACGTCCGCAGAGGAACGTGTCCAGCACGCACGCGCACGTTCACTGGGGACCGTGTCCACTGCGCATGCGCATGTCCACGGGGGGGTGGGTCGTGTCCACCGCGCACGCGCACGTCACTCAGGTGCATCCACTGCACATGCGTACGTCCGCAGGTGACCTTGTCCACCGTGTATGCGCACGTCACTCAAGGGTGTCGCACGTCCACAGAGGACCGTGGCCACCGCGCACGCGCACGTCCCTCA